TAACAGGAAGCATCTGGAGGAACAGAGGAAGTAGCGGTTCCTTTTTAGAATATGTCCTCGCTGGAGTTACTGGTCATCATAAGTATAAATATCACACCCACCTATTGTCAGGGGGAGATGGAGCCTGATGTTTCGCAGACCCCATTTTCACCACATATATGTGTTTTAATAAAATCATTTGTGTTGACCCACTATGGACTTTCAGTCGTATGTCTCATCCTCAAGATTCGAACCGCGACACATGAAACAGCAGGAAACTCAGTGAGAACACGACTTCAACCCCTCTCCACCCTCCAGCCTGATGGAGGTCCCAACAACAATCCACTGTGCTTTTCTTTAATACAATCTTAGCTTTGGACTTCTGGGATAAATACCTGTCTATAATGGCACACATATCTAGGCTGACATTTTCAAAAGTTCCAATGAGGCCCTGCTCCACCGCCTTGAGGTCCACCAGGTGATCATCTATGTGGATCATCTGCATGCAGCCCTGGAAGGAGCGCTGATGTGATCTGGGGTTAGTTTGCAGAAAATAACCTAGACAAAGACGGAGAGCAGCAAAGTCATTATTATCACCAGCAGAAGTATACTGGAATGAAGCTGGTGAGGACGGCACAGTTTAATCTCATTTAAGTAGGATTCAAAACATGGAATGTTTCAGGCACCAAAAATCGGGTCTTGAAGGTCGATGCGAGCTTCTGTGAAAATAAAGTCATTGTGCTTCAGGACAAAACAAACATCTACTTTCATTTTGTTTGATAATCAAGAAACTTGGACTCATTTTACCCACGCGGATGTAGCACGCAGTCATAGCCTGTTATTGCACGTTTTAAATTCACACTTGCATCAGTGCTGCTTTCTCACACTGTGTTTTTAGGAGAGAAGACAAAACTTGGACACACTTGATAAAACATCAAATTACTCTGGATCATGTTTACTCCCATTTTTCAGTAATCACCTTGTTGAGTCTGTGTTTCCACAGGCGCCGCTAGTTCAGAGACGTATTCCTCATGAAGAACACAAGACAAGACAGAACATCTTCAACCGCTAACGAGGGAAGCTTTGGTCAGAACCAGGCGGTGGAGCTTAGTGCTCATCAGCTGTCTGTAGCCCAAATCCTTCAAAGAGCAGCTTCCTCACAGCTGTTTATTCCCATGACAGCTACAGTTTACACAACACAAGCACCTCCCCATGTAAAAGCCCCCAATGGTTCTAAGACAAGGCACTGTG